ATTTTCACCTGCTCGCTTTGGAAGCAGCGTCGACTCTATTAGAGGCTCCTCGCTTGGTCCCCCAAGTTAGGGGCTATCTACCCTTGGCGGCCTGGGACCCCTTCTTGAGCTCTCTCCCAGATAGGGAATTATCAGGGTTCCTAAGGAGGGGGATTATGTCGGGTTTCAGAATTGGAGTTCCCCCCAATGCCAGTGTCAAGTCAGCGGAGGGGAACATCGCATCAGCAATCTCAATGCCACGCCAAGTGGATAAATACATTCAGGAGGAAGTCAGGGTGGGTAATCTGGTCCAATCTTTAGACTCTTTAACATACACAAGCCCAATAGGGCTAATTCCCAAGAAACACAGACCAGGGAAGTTCCGTATGATAGTAGATCTCTCTTCCCCTGCTGGCTCCAGCATTAACGACGCCATCAACCCAAACCATACTTCCTTTCAATATGTGATGGTTAGACAGGTCGCAGAGAGGGTCCCGCAAGGCTGGTTCCTGACAAAACTGGATCTGAAGTCAGCGTACAGAAAGGTCCCAATTCATCCCTCAGACAGCCATTGGCTGGGAATCTCGTGGCGGGGCATCACATACCAGAACAGGGCTTTACCTTTCGGTCTCAGCTCCGCTCCCATCACATTCACTGCAGTGGCTGGTGGGTTAGCCTGGGCCATGATATGTTCGGGTATCCATCGCCTGGCCCACTACCTGGACAACTTCATTTTCTGGGCTCCCAACGTATCTTCGGGTTTGCGAGATCTTTCGTCAGTAGTGGAGCTGGCCGCCCGCCTGGGCTTACCAGTGGAGCCCTCTAAGGTGGAAGGCCCCTCTACAACTCTCACTTTCCTGGGCATAGAAATAGATACAGTGTCCAGGGAGCTCCGCCTACCAAGAGACAAGCTACTCCGCCTCAAAGAAATCATAGAAGAGTGGAGGGTAAAGGCAACCAAGAAGTCGTCAGAGACAAAACATCAGCTCGATGTCTTGGTGGGCCTCCTCTCGGATGCAGCTCAGGTTGTTCCTGCACGAAGACTGTTTATAAGGCAACTGATACATGCCAAGTCGGAGCTCAAACGGGCTTCTCACTTTACGAGGCTTAGCCC